CGTCGCGGAGGAGCGGGGCGCGGGGACCCTGCGGGCGGGGTGGGAGAGGGGGCGCGGGCGGGCACAGGGCCAGGCCTGGGTGGCGAGGCAGACGCACTCCAGGTCCCGGGACGCCCGGCCTAGGGGGTGGCGCCTGTGCCGCCCCTCGGGGCGCGCCCCCTGTAGCTTCTGGCCCGGGTCCAGGCCGCCGCCTCCAAGCAGCCCTCCGCAGCGCTGCCTTCGTGCTACGGGTGGAGCCCCGGTAGGCAGGCGGGGAAAGCGGGGGCGTGACCGGGGCGCAGATATAGGAGAGCCAGAGGGCGCCGCGCCACCTCCGAGCTGGGTAGCAGTAGGGCAGCCGGAGGGGCAGCGACATCTGCGGGCGGGCGGCCGACGCTTCCTGGCGGCGCGGGGCCGAGGGGGTGGCCCGGAGGACTCGGGCCGCAGCGAGGCTGGAGGGCCTCACTGCCCGTGGGCAGACGGCCGGCTCGCCAGACGCCCCAGAGCCCAGGTCCCCAGAGCGTGGCCCCAAGCCGCGGACTGGAGAAGAAGCGACGCCCCTGGCCGCGTGCTCACATGCATCCCCCCGCGCGGGTGGCTCGGCGACGTCTGTGAATCTTGGGTTTATCAAGTCACGTCGAGCGACTCGGAGAACCTGTTTTTCCCGCTGTGGAGAGTGGTCATTCTCGTTGCCACTTGCCTGTAGAAAGTTACTCCAACACGTCTGATCATCCGTCCAGAGTAAGAAGGGAAAAGAAATAGCGTGGTCTGTCCGGGGGGTGAGGGGACTTAGGGGGATCCCGCCAAGTGGGCAGAGCCAGTTTTAGCTGGAGCGGCGAGTCCAGCCCATTGACAATCCAGCTCCGGAAAGGGTTAACTGCATCCTGCCGGTTCGGTTTACATGTAAATAGAGAGCAGCTGCTCCGCGCGGGCCCCTGTTGGCCCTTTTAAGTTTTTGATTGGTTGCCAATGACATCACCGCCCGTGTTATAACACTGTGGCCCCAAAGCGGCGTCGGATAAACCCTCCTTAAGGAGGCAAGGCCACGCCCTGGCTCCGCCCTCTCCAGCCACCCATTGGCCGCGGGCTGCTGCGAAGTAGCGGTTAGCTTTCTCTGGATTTCTATTGGTCCAACGCGCCGTCGGTCGGCAGCCGGCCCGCCCCCTCAGAACCTTACATTTACAGTGTAGCAAAAGAGAAAGTAACTATGTTGCTGCTGGATATCAATGAAGCCAAGTGAATGAGGGCTGAATGTGCGAATCCACAGCCGAAGCGGAGCGCCAGATAGTGGAGGGTTACACTTATTTATGAAGTAAGTGGAAGTCACCGTGGCTACTCCCGAGAGCCCGGGAGTGTAAGGCGGTGTGAGTGTGAGTATGTGCGTGTGTGTGTGTGTGTGTATGTGTGTGTTGCGATGGTCACGGAAGAGCCACAGCAGGTGAGGTTAAAGGGTTCCGGCTGTTGGCTCACGCTGCCCTGTGCGTTTACTCTCTCTGCAGTCTACTTGGATTGGGGGCGAGGAAAAAATGAGGTTTGTTGGGACGCTTTGCGGCAGTTTTAAATGCCAGGGACTTGTTCGTGCGCCGTGTTGCGAAGGGGGATGTTAAGTGCCCCAGGAGTGGGGAAGGAGCATTCTCTAACTACTTCATTTTCTTCCCAGCCCCTGACTAGAGGTGGAAGGACGACTAGCGAGGGAGAGGGGATAGCTCAGTATTTCTCTGGGAGGTTTCCTAGGCTAGTCTGGGTGGTTTCACGGGCAATATATATTTACGCCCGACCCTCTGCTGCAGGGATGCAGATCTCTTTATATACACTCCGCGCGTGTGTGTGAGAGAGAGTGTGTGCGCCGCGCACTCCGTGTGGAGGTGGGGGTCCCAGCTTGTGTCTCCGTGAACACGCTTATGCGTCCCTTTCAAGGGAAATGGACTGTTGATCCTGGGAGGTACCCTACCAGGTAACACAATAGCAAAGACTTTCACTGCTTGGTCCAGCTGGGAAACAGTTATAGCTTCTGGAATAGTACTTGCTCTTCAAAAAATACTACGCAAGGGAGGGAGGGAGGGAGGGAGGGAAGGAGGGAGGGAGGGAGGGCAAGGGAGGAAAGAAGGGAGGGAAGAAAAGAGGAACGGGGGAAGAAAAGGGGTTGGATCCTTCTTGCCCGTCCAAAGGTGGTGAGAGAAAGCTGAGTCGGTGGCGATCTGTGGATGTGATAGGTGCGTGCCCCTGTGTGTGTGAATGTGTGGATTCTGCCTGTGACACTTTGGCTCTGTGTCAGAGAGTGGTGACAGTCCTGTGTAGAGGGATGTTCGATGACATTTTTCCAGGCATCTCGTAACGTTCATTTAGATGAGCTACTCTTGCATGGGGTTTGGGTTCTTTTCTGTGTGTATGTCTAATAGGAGAGGGGCCATCAGGGCCTGGGTGTGGAGTGCCCCTGTGCCTACGGGGAGGAAGGAACTGTCCCTTTGCACGCGCCCTCTCATGAGACAGGAGGTAGACCCCTGAGCAACTCTACTTCCCACAAGGACGGGCTCACTGGGAAGTCTTCTTAATGAGTCCATCCTCTTGAAGAGGGGGGATATCTGTGTGGGATTGGAAGATTATGCATAGCGGCTGCCTCCCATTGAGAAGATCTCTAGGATGTGCCTGTGGGGAAAGAAGGAGGGAGGAGTGCTGAAGTGGTCCTTTCCTTAAAGGCCGCAAGGGAGCAAAACCCAAGGGGTGGATCTGCCAGAGTTGGGGTCTCCAGACCTGGCTCCTTGGCGTGAGGCTTCATCCTAGGAGACTAGCTTGTAATGAACGAGGAAATGCAGATTAATTTATAAGAGGCTAATTGGAAACATGGGAGGTTTTAATATGACTTTGTTGTGCTTTTCAAAGGACTCAGTAGAATGGAAAGTAAGAATAGCTGGCAGTTAAAGAGAGTCACTTAGGGGGATGCTTTCATTTTGATGTGCAGAAAGTTGACATCCGCCCCTGATGTATATTTAGCTGCCGTATATTCCTGTGAGCCATGCCAGCAGTCTTGGTCATTCCTTTGCCTTTGCAGTGGGTGAAGGAATTACATGGAAAGTATGCACGGGTGGACGCATGGGTCTTTCTCAGACGGTTGCATTATACTTCTGCCCAGAAGATGAGGCCCAGAAGAGATGCCTCTTAAGAGCCTTCCCTTCTGTCTTCAGCTTTTCTAATTCTTTCTGCTTTTACCTTTTCTCAGGCTGAACTTTGATGTGGGTCGGTGAAAGGTTGTTCATCAACATTTGCATAGACTTTACATCTAACCTTAGACTTAGCAAGGACTGGGGGGTCCTCAGGTTTGCATCCTCTTTGAATCCATAGCAATGAGCTTCAGGCTTTGAGAGTGACAGGGTAAAGGGCACTTAGGACGACTTTGCTCAGAGGGATGCAAAGCCCCTTCCTAGGGATTGGATTTGACTGCCTTTTGTGTCACATGACTTTATTCTTTCTTTCCCCCCTCCCCTTCTTTACAGACTGTCTTGAGTTCTTCTTGAATTGCCAGTTTTCAGCCTCCTCATGCCTCCGTCTCCTTTAGACGACAGGGTAGTGGTGGCACTGTCTAGGCCTGTACGACCTCAGGATCTCAACCTTTGTTTAGACTCTAGCTACCTTGGCTCTGCCACCCCTGGCAGTACCAGCCACCCTCCTGTCATCGCCACCACCGTTGTGTCCCTAAAGGCTGCGAATCTGACGTATATGCCCTCATCCAGCGGCTCTGCCCGCTCCCTGAATTGTGGATGCAGCAGTGCCAGCTGCTGCACTGTGGCAACCTACGACAAGGACAATCAGGCCCCAACCCAAGCCGTTGCCGCTGGCACCACCACCACCACCACCACTGGAAGCTCTACCACCTGCCCGGCCAACCAGATGGTCAACAACAGTGAGAACGCAGGCTCTCTAAGTCCATCAGGTGGGGTGGGCAGCCCTGTGTCAGGGACCCCCAAGCAGCTAGCCAGCATCAAAATAATCTACCCCAATGACTTGGCAAAGAAGATGACCAAATGCAGCAAGAGTCACCTGCCGAGCCAGGGCCCTGTCATCATTGACTGCCGGCCCTTCATGGAGTACAACAAGAGTCACATCCAAGGAGCTGTCCACATTAACTGTGCCGATAAGATCAGCCGGCGGAGACTACAGCAGGGCAAGATCACAGTCTTAGACTTGATTTCCTGTAGGGAAGGCAAGGACTCTTTCAAGAGGATCTTTTCCAAAGAAATTATAGTTTATGATGAGAATACCAATGAGCCGAGCCGAGTGATGCCCTCCCAGCCACTGCACGTAGTTCTCGAGTCCCTGAAGAGAGAAGGCAAAGAACCTCTGGTGTTGAAAGGTAATGCCCCCACCCCCTCCCCGAGCACAGTCCTGGTAAGCCTGGGGTCACTCTGGGTTTTCTCTTAGAAGTAACAGCATCCTCCTGCAAAAAAAAAAAAAACAACAGAATTGCCTTTCTTCTTCTTGTCTTCCCTTCCGTGCCCTCTCAATTATTTTGGGGTTGGGAGAGAAACCCAGCAGCCTTGAACTGAAAGCCAGAAGATTTGGGCTCTAGTCTTGATTCACCTTCTCATTTGCATTGTGCAAGTCATTTCCCCTCTTGGAGACCGTTTTCTCATCTTTCTATAAAGGGGCTTTATGACACCAGATGGCATCTCCAGTCATGCCTGGTCTGGTAGTTCTAGTCCAGTCAAACTAGCTGGAAAGTTCTTGTCTCTCAGACTTAATCAAAGTTGATGGAACAGAGGAAACCGCAGCTGTGGTGAACTACAAGTAAACCTCGAGGTACCAGTTTTTTTGTGGGAAATTCTTCCTCTTTCTCACCTCTCTGAAAGTGACCTTCAGGAAGGGCAGAGAGCCTTATTCTAAGGTCCCTCAGAAAGTATAAGTTCACCCCAAACATCCGTTCCTCGGCCAAAGCTTCAAGGGACAGAGTCATTTTTGTGAAATACTCCCCAGCCCCTCATTGTTCCTTCTGGCATCACCCGACAACCGTTGGCATCATGGCTCCTCCCAAGATGGGGTGGTGGGTCACTTGCCCCACTGAGCAGAGAATAACTGGCAGGTCAGTGTCGCTGAGCCCTGGCAGTGGGAATTAATTGCTCCCTGGTCTCTGGGCTCCTTCCACACAGCATTGCCTAACCTAGTAGTGGAGCCCGCATCCCGTATCCAACCCAGGTGTGCCTCTTTGCCCTCGGATGCCATCCTTTGGGGCACTGCACACCACGCTTCATCTTCGGTGTCTTCTATCAGGGGGTAGTGGTGGTAGTGAGAGACAGGCATCTTATTTCTTCTCTTCCCAAGTGTGTTGAGTCAAGGCATACAGTCTGGGCCACATCACCAGCCAGTCTCGTGTGGTGTGTAGACCAAAGACGTTGCTGGGTTCCTTTGAACACCTTGCATATTTAAATTGCAACAGGCCATTGGGCTGAGCAAGTTAGTAGTTCTGCCTTTGTGGGCCAGCTCTGCCATTCTTCTTCTTGTCTTCCCAATGGTGCATTCTGCCTTTTGTTAAGCAGTGTTCTTAGAAATACAGTTCTGAATGTCTTTGACATCATTCCCTCTGCCCACCCTTACTGCCCTCAAACCTGCTCTTGTTGGGCTCAGCTAGCACAAGAGTATGGCTTTCCTTGGGCTGGTGGGCCCTCAGGAGAAGGAGAACATCATGGAAGTTGCATCCAGAGAGTTCCCAGCAGCTCCCAGGTATTTTTTTTTTGTTGCTGATGGGTTTTCTTGGGGTTACAGATATGCTCAGATTTCCTCTGTGTACCCCTGTATTTTACTGTTTTGTATTCTTTTTTGGCTGACTTTGAGCGATTACCAGTAGGTTTACCCAGCTAGTGTTCTGTCCCCGTGATCTTGGCTTGTCTCATCTTTTTTGGATGAGAAAATACAGTCTACAAACTTCCCATTTGTAATAGTTTGTCTTGGGGAGCCAAGAAGGGGAGAACCAATGCAATGATCTTGAGGGTGGTCTGTTGCTCATGTAGAGTGGATGTCATTGAGGGAAAGCAGACCTTTTGTGTCTGTATGGTCTGAGGACAGGCATCAAATAATCCACATGAAGATGACCCTGGACATGAACATAGGGTGATTAGGAAGAGGTGGAGATTCTACCCTCTACTTTGCAGTGGGCATTGTTGTGCATGAGTGTGGCTTGTCAATCGCTGGGCAATGAATCTTCTAGGTGTTACTGATCAAAGTGGGGTTCCTTTCCCCCTTTCCGGTGGATGCAGCTGAGAGCCTGGGCAGCCTGCGCTTGTTTCTCAGTGTCAGTGAGGAAGATTGCCTCAATGGGGCGGGGCCGGTCATGCTGCTGACCTCACCACTGGGTGCCTGGGAGGCCGCTGTGAGGGCTCATCATTTTCGGGTTGGTGAGACACAGCGGCGGTCGACCTGGAAGACGCACTGGTGGTAGAGGTTGGATTATTTGTAGTTTGGGGGGCTCTTTCTTCAAATATCTGGGAATTTGGTTGAATATATGTAGTTCAGGAGCAAAAGGGTCAGTAATCTACTTTATTATTTTTGTCGTTATTATTTTGGTCTCTTTTGGGGGAATGGCCTAAAATTGGGACCACGATGGGGAGGAAGGGAAATAGATTGATATTCGAATGGCCCTAGCTACCCTTTCATCTGGGTAAACCAAAGGTTAATACCATAGCACCACTGAGGTGAACAGTGAGGTGGGCATCTCTTAGAAGGCATAGCCAGCAACTTCTCCTAGGTTCTTGAGTGGGTCAAGCAGACCATTCTGGTCTGGCTTCTCTGCTGAGGTTTGTTTTAGTAACCCCCTCCATTAGTGATGTAAGATTTTATTTTAGCAAGAGTGGTGGTGGTACCATTTTGGAATGAGTGACTTTTGTAGGGTAGATTTTCATCTGGAACCAAAGGTTAATACCATAGCACCACTGAGGTGAACAGTGAGGTGGGCATCTCTTAGAAGGCATAGCCAGCAACTTCTCCTAGGTTCTTGAGTGGGTCAAGCAGACCATTCTGGTCTGGCTTCTCTGCTGAGGTTTGTTTTAGTAACCCCCTCCATTAGTGATGTAAGATTTTATTTTAGCAAGAGTGGTGGTGGTACCATTTTGGAATGAGTGACTTTTGTAGGGTAGATATGGGGTGGGGGTAGTTAGAATCTAAGGTAGAAACTTCTAAGGCTTCATTAATTTATTTTCAGAGATTTCAGTATAATCTCGGGTAATTTATGGCTGACCCATCTGATTCTCTGGTTTATGTTTGTAAACACCGGTTGCTACCCGCCCTGTCCAAGTTTTATGTCCCCCTCTTTCAATGCCATGTTCTCCATTTTTGGTGCTGCCTGTCAAGTAGAGCGGCTGCTCAGATACCATTTTAGTAATGCTGTGTCAGGTTGGGAAGAAACTGATCAGAGGCGCAGAAGCCCCTGGGATTAAGTTACTCTTCTAATTTACAGTCCCGTCCCTGTTTTGACCTATGTCTGAATCTGTGTTTTATTCTCATCTTCCGAAGAATAAATGGCATCAGACCTGTGCTTCTATTCAACCTGGCAAAAAATGATCCAAATGAATAAATATTTAGAGACCTGCAAAGTCTTTGAAAGAATTACAAGCTGTTTTACACAAAGTTGAGGTTTAATGTGATTTCTCACCCAACTCAGTAAGGAGACTAGACAGCTCTGAGTTTTTCAGAATGAGAGCTACCATCTTTGCCATGATGTTTATAAGGCTCCCTTTCTTTTTAGCAAGGCTGTGTTCAGGGAAATAATTTGTCACTTACCTATGTAGGAAAGGATAGTCTACTATCGCCTCCTCTTTAAAGACAGTCTATGCCTTTAACATTTTTATTATGAAATATTTCAAATATAGAGAAACATAGAAAAGAGTGCCATGGGCATCCATATACCTAGTACCCAGATTAAACAATTATTAACACTTTCCCTATTTTCTGTCTCTTCTTTTCTTGGTTGTTGAAAGATTTTAGAGTATAGACAATATTTGAAAGTATTTCAATATGTCTCATGTTTAAACTTAATATTTTCAAATTAAGAAGGCTGGGAATATTGTATAGTGTAGTATGGACAACATTTTCACTCCTAAACACTGGTGTCATGTGCCCATTGTTGAGAGATTTTCGAGCTTGAAATTCCACTCTAACTGGCTATCAGGTCTATGGAGAAGCGTCCCCCCCCTCAGAGTGGGAGGTTTCCAGGCACTTCCTTGGGGGTCTGTAGTGCTCCCCTAACATGAGGGTCTGTCAGGGCCCGTGCCTATACTTGCTCTGTGCTGTCACAAAACAAAGAGTGACTGATTGCTTCATCCTCCAACAGGCCTGCCTCTGTATCAGAGACATTTATTGGGGGGAGGGAGGGGGAAGAGTGAGCATCAATTCAGGAGGCTGATGCGTAGGGAAGATTCCATGACAGAGAGAGTTAGTTTCTTACGCTAGAAAACTTTCCTTCGCAACTCCTGAGATGAGCGACGTAGATGGCGCATTTTCCCATAGTCGAAAAGGGCTCTGAAGTAAACACTTGTAGGCAGTGCTGAGTCTGATGACAAAGTGAAGGTCTATGCTCAGAAATCAGAGACCCTGGGGAAATATTCTTTCCCTTTCCTGCTTTGTTTTGGAAAGGGAACAAAAGTCTTCCTCTTGCCTGTTAGGGATGTTAGGAGGATTTTTTTCTTTTTTTTAAACAGGTGAAATAAGGGCATAATATATACCCACAAATGTGTTATTCTGAGCTTCTGTTGAATATCCAAACATGCTGAATATTGGCCTTATAGCAAATGGTGGAGAGATTCAGGCAGGACTGGGGATCCAGCCTGTCTGGGCTCTTGTCTTGGCTCGCCCCTTACTAGCTCTGTGCCCTTTACTGATGGCTACTTTGCTTACTTCCTTGCTTTCCTCATTTACCAAAAAGAATATAACAGTAGCCGTCTCATGGTGGTAGTTTAGATATTAAATGAATTAATGGGTACAAAGTGTCTAGAACAGTTCCTCATACAGGGTGAACACTCAGTACATGTAGCTTAATATTACTGTTGGTCGAACAGAAATGATGGTATCAGTAAAAGTGCAATTTTAGCTCCTCTTCCAAAGGAGTGCAGATAACAAGGTAGGTATAGCAGTGAGTGTGTGTGTGTGTGTGTGTGTGTGTGTGTGTGTGTGTGTTGCTAGGGCTTAAAAATAACTTGGTGACTGTTACCTAATTTAAGTAGCATACAGTTGGAGTGCCAAGTAATTACAAAGACATGTTGGGTCAGGAGGCCAGAGTAATTTGGGCATATCCTAGAATTATTTATTTGTAGGGGAGTTTGTAAAAACGTGATGATATATCTGTCCAATGAATGTCCCATAACTAAA